CTCTTTCTCAGGGTCTTACTTATACACCTAGCTCCTTTGATCTTCAAGCTTATTTTGATTCCAATTGGGCTGGAGATTCAGTTGACAGAAAATCCACATCAGGCTATTGTGTATTTTAAGGTTCAAATCTTATTTCTTGGTCAGCTGAAAAGCAAGTTACAGTGTCTTGATCTTCCACTGAAGCAGAGTATAGGTCTTTGGCTCATACTGCTACAGAGTTTACTTGGATTGGCATGTTGCTTCATGATTTTTGTATACAGCTTCCTGTAGTTCCTTTTCTCTGGTGTGACAATGTATCTGCTATAGCTTTAACATCTAATCCAGTATTCCACTCGAGATCTAAACACATTAAAGTGGATTGCCATTTCGTTCAAGATCAAGTTCCTGCTAAAAATCTTGTGTTACACTATATTCCCACCATTGATCAGTTGGCAGATATTTTTACTAAGCCTTTGTTAGTCTCCAGATTTTCTTATCTTCAAACCAAATTGATGTCAGTTTCCCCTGTCATCAGCTTACGGGAGAATGTTGAGGATCATAGCTTAGCCAGCTCAGGAAGTTTAGCTGGTTCACTAGCTCAGTTGAAGGCTTAGAGTTGGTTACACAATTAGAAAGTTAGTTGCGTTTTTGTTTAGATGGTTGGTTAGTTTGTTATAGCTCGCTGGTTAGTTTGTTATAGCCTTGTATATAAATATAGGTAGTTGTATACTTCAATATTATGGTGAATGAAATGAGTTGATTACAGTTTTTCTATAGCTATGTGCTCAACCAATCATGTTTTTCCCTTTTTCATACTATTTCTATTTATTTTATTTTTTTGACAATGTAAGTATTGAATAGACAAACTTCCACCTTAAAATTTTTAGAAAACTGGATAATTGTTCTTCGTAAAGACTTTAAATAACTCAAATTTTTGTAATGATTCATATCATCAATCATGCCTTTGAAAATTTGACCGAACCAGTCGGTTTAACTCATTGACCCGTGAACTGACTCTTGGTTCGATTTGGGTCTATGCTAGAGTCGTTCTATACTAACCTATTTTGTAAAATTCATTTTAATTGACAGTTAAACCGCACAACCAGTTGATTTGGTCATGGTTCAAATGAACCAATCCAGTTGTATGCAGCATTCCTTACATTAAAAATTATGCATCAAATAGTTTTGCCAAGACTTGAAACCCTGGCCTGTGGTACAAATATATAGGACATCCGTTTGTTTAATTTATTGCAATAGTAATATATATGATTCTTATGAAGTATCTATAATATGTAATCTTTTATATAGTAGTGTATTACTTTTTTTAAATTTAAGGAGTGTAGAATTTACTAATCAAGTTTTAATTTGTAATAGTTAATTTAAAAGAAAATTACTAACCATATTTTTATTTATATATTATTTTTAAAATATTTATGAGATAATTATCACATCACGGCTTGATCTGACGATTAAACTATTAACCTGTCCACCTAATTCCTTTTCCAGGTTACTCATCGGTATAGTTATCAAAACATTATCCTATCAACTTTCTTGGGATCTATAAGGGGTCCAAAGACTTAACTGAATGATTAATTCCGATTTTGACAATTGGAGACTAGCTCTTCCCTATAACAACATACCCAATCAAGTGGTCTCCATTTTTAAAAATAGCAAGATAGGCACCAAGAGCATGGTACTCCACTTTTTTTAGCCTTTTTGCTCTCATAGGTTTCCAGAATAGTAAATGTGTCTCTTCTCTCTTCATTCGCAAGATTGGTTCAGGGTTTATTGCTCTGCTGGTTTATGTAGATGACATCTTGATCACTGGGAATGATGCCACCCAAATTCATCTTCTTATTGCTAAAATGCATCATGCATTTTCTATGAAAGAACTGAGGAATCTTTCCTATTTTCTTGGTATTTCAGTTGAAACCTTTGGTTCAGCTTATGTTCTTTCTCAGAAAAAGTATGCTCAAGATGTTCTCACTAAGGCTGGCATGATGGATTGCAAGCCCTGCTCTTCCTCTCTATATCTGTTAAACCTAGTCTGCCTCACAATTCAGATGTCCTTTTTCACAATCCTTCTTTTTATCAAAGTATTATTGGTGTCTTACAGTATTTAACAATCACATGTCTTACAGTATTTAATAATCACCAAACTTGATCTATCATATGCAGTCAATCAGCTTTGTTAGCATATGCATAACCCCACTGTTGGTCATTTTGCTGGAGTCTAGAGGTTACTTAGGTTTCTTAAGGGGACTCTTACTCAGGGTCTTACCTATACACCCAGCTCCTTCGATCTTCAAGCTTATTCATATTCAAATTGGGCTGGAGATTCAGTTGACAAGAAATCCACATCAAGCTATTGTGTCTTTTTAGGATCAAATCTTATTTCTTGGTCATCTAAAAAACAAGCTACAGTGTCTAGATCATCCATTAAAGCAGAGTATAGGCCTTTGGCTCATACTATTGCAGAGCGTACTTGGATTGGCATGTTACTTCATGATTTTTGTATTCTACTTCCTGTAATTCCTCTTTTCTTGTGTGACAATGTCTCTACCATAGCTTTAGCTTCTAATCCAGTCTTTCACTCCAGGTCTAAACATATTGAAGTAGATTTTCATTTCGTTCGCGATCAAGTCCTTTTTCGCTAAAAAGCTTGTGTTACACTATATTCCCACCATTGATCGGTTGGCAGATATTTTTACTAAGCCTTTGTCTGTCTCTAGATTTTCTTATCTTCATACCAAACTGATGCCAGTTTCTCCTACCATCAACTTGAGGGGGAATGTTGAGGATTATAGCTCAGGTAGCTCACGCTTAGGTTGTAGTTCAGCTGGTTCACTAACTTAGTCGAAGGCTTGGAGTTGGTTACACAGTTACGAAGTTAGTTATGAGTTTGTTGAGATAGTTGGTTAGTTTGTTATAGCTTTGTATATAAATATGACAGATGTATACTTCAAAGATGTGGTAAATAGAAAATGAGTTGATATAGTTTTTCTATACTGATAATGGATTTAGATGATAATTGATAGATGCATTATTCTGTATATGTACATGTTACAGGTTGCATTGGTAATGGAATGCATATAATTTAGAAATTGATGAAAAATATTCAATTTATGTATTTAAAAAAAATTAATAAATAGAGCTTTTGGCGACTAAACATTTAGTAGACAAAAAATAAAAAGGAAACTTGTTGGCAACTAAAGAGTTACTAGCCCCCAAAAAAAAATGAAAGTTTTTGGCGACTAAAAAATTAGTAGTTGAAAAGGAGCAGCATGATTTTAGCGACTAAAAAATCGGCAGTCAAAAAGGAGTGTCACATTTTTAGAGACTAAATATTTAGTCGCTAAAACAAAAAAAAAATATTTATTGAAAACTTTGGGCGACTAAATTTTTAATCGCCAATTGGCAACTTTTGGCAACTAAAAAAAATTAGTCGCCAATTTAGGACTTTCGGTGACTAAATATTTTTTAGTCGCCAATACCTTCCCCGACAGTCTTCCCGCGACTAAGCCGGCGACCAAACTATTTAGTCAGGAAAACTTTTCGACGACTAAAATTTAGCCCAAAAATTTAGTCGCCAAAAGTGCCACAATAGGCGACAAAAAAAACATTGGTTGCTATTAGTTCAAGTTTTAGGCTACTAAAGTTTGTTTTAGTTGTCGTATACTAATTTTTGCCGACTAAAATAAATTTAGTAGCCAAATAACTAGCATAATTTTACTTTAAATCTATGGTGACTACCTAATTTGGTTGGCAGATATGCATTTTCGGTGACAAAAAAATATTTAGTCGTTGTATACTAATTTTTTCCGACTAAAATAAATTTAGTATCCAAATAATTAGCATAATTTTACTTTAAATATTTGGTGACTACCTAATTTAGTAGCCAAATATTGATTTTTAGTAATATTGATCTTTAGTGACCAAAATATATTTAGCCGTTATATATTAATTTTTGCCGACTAAAGAAATTTAGTTGCCAAAACCCTAACATAAATATTACTTTTAATCTTTGGCGACCAAAAAAGTAGTCACTAAATATATATTTTCAGTGACTAAAAATATCTAGTTGGCAAAAGCATCAAATTTTTTTGGTGTATTTTCAAATTTTTCGCCTAATTCAGTAATTATGTTTATTCTTTTTGGATAACCAATTATGGAGTTTGTAATAATATTGTCAATCAGGGGGATAGTCATAGGCATGGGGCTGTCAGTGGAAAACTATCATACGTGTGGATTTGTTAGAAGGAAAATGTTAAAAGCAATCTTTAAAGTTATTAATATTGAAAAAATGTATTAAAATGTTTGAAAGTGATTTGAAATATATGAAAAATGTATTCAAATTATAAAAGTTTTGATTTTTTATTCTTTTTATTGACAACTTTTAAATATGCCATTACGAGAACCCTTATTAATGGTTGTCATTAGCACGATCTTAATTTAAAAAATGAAATGCTACTATACACATTATATATGAGGCTGTTGTTTTAATAATAAATCTTTGTGTGTTAATTACGAAGGTGTCACTGTTGGAAATTAGGCTTTTAGCGGCGTTTTTTAAACGCCGCTATAGGTATCAAAAACGTCGCCAATTCTTTTTGTGACGTTTAATACCAAACGTCGATGACGCGGCCGTCGCTATAACTTTATGGCGTTTGGAAAACGTCGCTGTATTAGTATAGGCGGCATTTTTAAAAACGCCGCCAAATGCCCTGCCCTAACAATACTGTGACGTCAGTATGATTTTAGCGACGTTTTTAAAACGCCTTCATAGGTTTTTTTAATTTTAAAAATTCCAACCGTTATAGTGGCATTTGAAAAACGCCGTCTACTCTTTCTTTCTTTTTTTTGGTTTTGAAATTGTGCTAATTTTATGTGATTGAACTAAAAGAACACCAATAATAAAACTAAATAACACTAATATGAAATAATAACTCCCATTCAAATAACAAATATAGTATTAATTCACTTTCCCATTCAATTTAATATAGCATTAATTTTACCAAATATAACCAACAAGAGAGACAGAGTTCCCAAAATCTGATACAGAAATGAGCCTTCTTGTGTCACAAAATGGCAAAAATACTTGAGCCCCATTTTGTAAACTGCAATATATATTGCATTTAAAATTATGAATCATGTTTTTATATGACCCTATCACATGTATTGTTCACAAAGTTACATAGCAAAATAGCCATATCCATATAGCCATATCCATGGTCAGTTTCAACTATATTCAGTACCAACTAACAGAACATTTACCACAGGACACTCACAAGAAAGCGTTACCACATAATTCTGTTAGAAACAGAGTTCTTGAAACTTACAAATGCTTTAAATGCAGGCTTATGAGAAGTCATTTCGTATATACAACATCCTGATAATACAAGCATAAGATCCGTAAGTGTACATTCAGCTAGATAAACTACAAATATGCCAAGTTGCAACTTGCATTCATGATTGCATTATAACTTATATATGTATTTATGTGACATTTGTGTATACACTTACCCAAGGACCAAATGTCTGACTTAGAGCCATAAGGTATGTCAGCAAGAAGCTCAGGGCACATATAACTTGGAGTTCCTACAACCTGAGTTACGAAAAAGAAATCTTGAACAATAAAACTAATGCAAATGTTGAAACTTGAAAAATGAACCAGTTAACCACAAGACTTACAGAGGATGCAAGATCATCTGATGGCAACATCTTAGCAAGTCCAAAATCACCTGCAACAGGATTAATCAATGGTGATTCAGCAAAATATTGACACCTCTCAAGACTATTAAAGAAAGAAAACATATCACTTACCAAGACGTATGTCTTGGTCTTTTGCCAAGAATATATTTGAACACCGCAAGAACAAGACTGTCAGTAACATGCAATTTCAGAAATTTCAGAAGGATAATTCATAAATCCTCTAGTATACAGATAGATGCAACTTACCTTAACATCTCGATGAAGAATATGATTCACATGTAAGTAGTCAAGAGCCATAAGCAATTGAACAAGCTATTTACACAGCTTCTATAAACAATTTAACATCAATGTATCAGTGAACAAAGAAATTGTGAGCTGATACAAATTGAAAACTGCAGAGGTGGGAGGTAGAATGCACACACTATAGCTCAACCTCACTCTCTTCGTGTTCTTCTTCTTAGCGTTGACACAGAAGCACACACTTAGGGTTCTTGCTCTTCACAGGTACTCATATGTGTTCTTTCATATCATGTTTTTGATTTTCAGAGTTTAGATCCTACTTTCAAGCTCTGTTATGGGTTTGAAAGGGTTTTTTTTTTGGGTGATTTATAGAGTTGTTTTTTGTGTTTTTTGCTTGAAATCTCTAAAATGTTGTTGTGCTCTTGCTTTGTAGTGATGTTTTCTTGTTGATCTGTTGGGTTTGAGTTTGATCTCTGTTTATTTGCTTTATTTATTTTTGTTTTTTTGGCTTTTCAGTGTTTTGGGAAAGTTTCCGCTCTGTGTTGTAGCTGTGGCTTCTCTGACATTTAGGCAATTTTCTATTTCTTATAATATGGGGTTTTGTTGACTTGTATGACCCTTTTCTGATCTGATGTGTTCACTTGGGTTTGTTTCTGGAAATTCTTCTGCCATTTCTGTTTGAAAGTAGTCGTCTTGCTGCATTCTTTATTTATTTGTTTTTCTTTTTGGGTCCTTTTTTTTTTTTACTCTCTATTGTGTGTGTGTGTGTGTGTGTGTGAGAGAGAGAGAGAGAGAGAGAGTTTTGCTCTGCCTTTTCTAGCATTTTGTGCTCTGCATGTCTGCACTGTGGTCTCTGTCAACATATCTTGGTCATTTTGGTTGTGTTTTGGCTCTCTTAATGCCCAGCTAGCTTTGTTTTGGGTCTATGACATCTAATGTTGTAGACTCCTGAAGTTTTTTTTGTGTAACCTTTTTCTATTTTAGCCTCTGAAACATTGCTTCTGGAATTCCTTTTTTCCCTTAACTTCTGTTTTGTTTTTTAATTTTTTAATTTTTTCAAAAAAAAAAAAATTAGCTTTCTTGGAATCTATTTTCTTGGTTTCTTTTCCTAATCTATGGTGAGGTTATGGTCCTTCAGCTTTATTTGCATGCACTACAAGATTAATGATCTAAGCTTTATTTTTGGGGGCTTTAAGGGTTTATGGTTATTCATGACTGTATATGCCCTGTTGTCTGTTAAGAGTGCTCATTTTTTGTGCTAGAGTTTCATGTCTGAAAGCCTCATCAGGAGTTGTAAATGTATTGAGAGTTTCATATGCTAAATCTGCAACTTTTTTTACATTTTAACAACCAATACTATCTTTTTGCTTTGTGGAGTTTGTTTCATATGTATATATAGTGCTCTTCGCAGCTCTTCCTTATTGGAGCGCCTTCGGTAGCCTAATGATTTCCCGTTCCAGTGTCATCTGTTCCTATGATTTTAATTGTCTATAGTGTGATTTGAGTTTGAACAAATGTTCTGCATTTTTCCTTTTTTTTTTTTATGTGGTTTTGTTTTTGTGCTTGTTTCTCCATGCTACTGCTGGTGGCATGTTATGGCTTATCAAGTTATCAAATTTGTTTTAATTCATTTATGGAAGGCTGTTGATTTCTGATTTATGGAAGGCTGTTAATTCATTTATGGAAGGCTGTTGATTCATACATTCATTTTTTCACTCAACTATTCTGAAGTGAATAGAAAAATAAATAAAAGAGGAAAGTCACTGTAACAGTTTTAATTCATGACATTGCTTAATTAGCTTCTCAAAACTTTCATAATCTAGGTGAGCAGAGGAAAACACATGTTGGATTTAGAGAACTACACAAAATAATATATATATATATATATATATCAAGTCATGATTCAACCACATGGATTTATGACGGAGGTGAACCATGTACCAGGATCCTCAACTATTAGATATAGATTATATGATGGTTCATAATGTTAAGACCAATGATCAACTGGGTTAAACAATGAAGCATATGAAAGCAATATCAGCATGACAGGAAGGAAGGAACAAAAACAAATAGAATAGACATTCAGGTAGCCTATTAGACCATCAGAAAACAAAGGATGAAAGAAAATACTAATGTCAATTGAACAACATCAATAATACGAGATATAACATCTACTGACCTTCTCTACCCAAGAATCTTTATACTCCACAATAAACGGATTCCTCATTTTGGCAATAAGCTCCATCTACGTAGTGCAAGAAAAACGAAAATATTAGTCTGTACTCTAGTAAAGAAATAAAAATTTGATAAAGAAAATGTACAAAATATGAAACATGTAATGCTAGTTAAATAGACTAACCAATCTAGGGGCAATAAGGGATGACAGAGTAATTGTCTTCTCAGGGGGAATTTCCGCCTTGGTGCTCCCCATTATCACCAAACTATCACCAGAAGGAACAGCTTTAACTTTTCCTCTTAACCATCCTGTGGTTCTAGCTGTTGACGCCATCTCAACAGCTAAGGATCTGATGAAAGAAAAATTAAATGTCAACATCCTACGTGACAAAGCACCAAGACATTTAATGGGAAAAGGACATCTTCAAGACAATTCCATTCAACCGCCATCTAAAGATGTCTTCCTTTTCTTTTCTAATTCTTTTTCGGTTCATTGTGTTTAAGGAAAGGTCATCCAGGTACTGTCCTGTCCCAGTTGATGATTAGGTCAAAGTTGTATTTTGTGTCCTCCTTTGAAAGAGGAAGGGTATGTAATAACAATATATTATATTAAACCAACTTTCTATGATGAGTTTTGGTGTTACAGAGAGAGAGAGAGAGACACAGACAGACAGACAGAGCGAGCATTAGAATTAATTGGAGTCTAGGTTTTAATATAACAAAGCAGGCAAGTATAATAATAACAAATAAATAAACATTCACAAAGGGAAAGCAAAGCAGAATATAGTCAAAAGAATCCAGCAAAAAAAAAGTGATTTACTTGGGAGGGGTTGTTAGAGAGCAGCATCCTCTCTCTATTTTTAACATGAGAGAGCATCCAAGACAACCTTTCTCCCCCCCAAGACTGTAAAAATCAACAACACCCCATATTCATAAAATATCTAAACAAGTGTACATACTTAAAATGTGTAAATCAGATTTATTTTTATTATAATTCACACTATAGTAAGTTTAAATTTTACTATACATTCAAATTTTGTTTTTGTGTTTTTTTTCCCCTCTTCTAAATACATTAGCATTTCTAAGTACAAATAGTTCAAGTCTTTAACCACGTGTGGCGATAACAATGGCACAACAATGCATAATGAATAAGGTCTTCAAGTACATGCAATCTGCAAACATCGCGAATCAGCTTAATGCAGAATCTATACGAGCTAAAATTGAATAGATAAACACATGCATACACATATACACATACAGATCTGAGAAAAACACCTGATTGATCAGAGAAAAAAGCAGTATGTTCTGGATCGATCGGAACCGGAAATCGGAGAAAACCAAATCGATCGATCGATCAAACTTGTATCAAATTATTGAAACTGAACACAAACGAAGAACAGTTTATGATTAGAATTGCACGAACAATCACAATTGATATGATGATTTATATATAGATAGATATATATAAGAGAGAGAGAGAGAGAGAGAGAGAGAGAGATGAGTACCGAAGAGATTGTGTCCGAGAAGGAGTCGGACAGCGGATCAGAGCGAAACACAAATCTGAAAATACTTGCGAAACACAGATCGAGAGAGAGAGGGAGACAGAGACAGAGATCGAGAGAGAGATCGAGAGAGAGAAGAATCGACGAAACTGAGATTGGATTGAAATCGAAATCGAAATCATGCATATCGTTAGTAGGCGATGTAGATGCAGATGCAGATGGTGATGGCGGTGGCGGTGGAGCTTTGAAATCAAAATCATTCTGAGATTGGATCGATCGAATGATGAATCACCGAGCTGAAGAAGGTTGAATCAAGTTGAAGAAATTGAAGAGCTTAGAGAGAGAGAGAGAGAGAGAGATAGAGAGAGAGAGTG